TACCCAGGAGCCTGGCAGAGATGAGGTTCTCTGGAACAATTAGGAAAACACCTGGGATCCGTTCCTAGTTCTGCAGCAGTCTGTAAGACCATCATTGTGAGAACTAGTCAGCCTCTTTGGTTAGTATTTCTTTGTCTGGAACATCTCTAAGTTTCCTTTGACATTAATATTCTCTGGGTTCTATGCAGTGGTCTCACTTCAACAAGGTATACTAAATTTAAGATATGTTATTGGGGCATAAGTCTCATTTTATTTTCATAAAAATGATTTGACTATACGTTTTGCTCCTTTGACTAGGTTTTTGCTCCTTTGGAAACCCTGGTGGCGTAGTGGTTAAGTGCTACGGCTGCTAACCCAAAGGTCAGCAATTCAAATACACCAGCCGCTCCTTGGAAACTCTATGGGGGCAGTTCTACTCTGTCCTATAGGGTCACTATGAGTCGGAATTGACTCGACGGCAATGGGTTTGGTTTTTTCGTTTGGTTTTGCTCCTTCAGCCCAGGCTACAAATATTTGTCCTAAATTCAGAAGAAATACCCCAAAACAAAATAAACTAAGAAACAAACCTACTATGACTCAGTTTTCTGTGCTGCATTTTATGGAGTAAAGTCTTCTTACCTTTTCGCCTTTCTGTTTAGGAATCTTAAACAAAAGCGAGTGTTAGTACAGATGACAATTTGGCACAGTCACTTTGAATGTAATATATTTGCAAAGTATAGACACCTGTTTGGAGTTGTCCTTCACTCCACACCCAGTTCAGGTCCTAGGGAGATTAATGAGGTGGGTTTAGCTGCACATCACAGGGCACTTGAGTGAATTTCACTGCGGGCTGTGGGGCCTCACAGAGGTTTTAAGGAGAGCTGGTCCCCTGAAGGGAAATAATACCTTTGCATCTTCATTAACAGAAGGAGAACAAGGAGTCAATTTACACTAGTTATATAGTTTTGTGGGCGTTGATTATGTGCTTGCTGTTCCACTTGAGGCGCCATTTAACTTGAAACACAGGGATATTTACATACTGAACACTTCTCTACTCAAAGCCTGGGCCACAGGCCAACAGCATCAGCATCACCCGAGAGTGTTGCAGCCCCTCACACGGGGCACCATCTGTCACAGCGGCGGTGTGGCGGAGACAGTAACCATGCCACAACTCTTACAGAGAAGTGGGGCCGGGAGGGTCACTCTGAGGAGTCGAACCCAGCTTCAGTCCCAGTTGTTTATTTTATAGTCAATAGAGCAAACAATGAAGCAAATAACAGAACAATGGGCTTTGGGTGAATAACAATAAGTTTCGGGCAAGGGAGGAGGAATTCAGGTAAACAAACCAATCAGTAACGGGTTTGGAAAAACAAGTCGTGACAAGTCTCAACATGTTGGGGACAAGTCTCAACATGTTGTGCAGCATAGAGGCCTTTATGCATCCATATTTTAATGGCACATATCCCCACACGAGAGCTTGGTAGAAATACAGAATCTCAGGCCCCAACCCAGTCCCACTGAATTAGGAAAGGCATCTTAATAAGATCCTCAGGTGATCTGAGCGTGCATTTAGGTCTGAAAATCGTCGCTTGAAAAGATCCTCAGAGGAGAGAATAATTGCATTATAGTTTTCTAACACCATCATATTATCATTCTAGTCTACTTTTATAATTCTTTACTATTGTTTTAGTATATTTTAGTTTCCTGCTTTCAACATTTATCTGTGAATTTGGGATCTCTCATGACGATTTCACATATTTAAAACTTCTTTTTCTCATCCAGAACATTTTATATCTGTGACCTTTAAAATATGCATTTTACTAAGGATTTGTTTCATTTGGGTTCCAATATGGTTGAAAATGATATATTATTATTGAAGTCTCTTCAGTTAAATATTTATTCTTAACTTCTGGCGCTATACTTTTACTTTTTTGGCCCTTCTTTCAAATACAGGCAAGCTTAATTATACGGGAGCAGCAGTGTTTGCTTCGGTAACAAATCTAGCTATTTGGTTGATCTATTCATTATGGCCTATGATATTTCAATTAATAAATAAAAATTAGTTTTAGATATATTTCTTTTGAAAAAGAGCTAAGCAAAGCAATTCCTGAGCAGAAAGGAGGAAAAATAGTCAAAAATGTGTTTATTCATTTGAATAGAAGCTCTGGTGGCGTAGGTTAAGTGCTCAGCTGCTGACTGAAAGTTTTGCCAGTTCGAATCCACCAGCTGCTCCACAGAAGAAGTGTCACTCCACTTCTGTAAAGATTTACAGCCTCAGAAATCCTATAGGGCAGTTCTACTCTGTCCTATTGGTTTGCTATGAGTTGGAATCCACTCCATGGGCAATGGGTGTTATTCATTTGGAAGGAAATTAAAAAATAAAGTGGATTTGTTCAACCCCTTCCCCACACCTTTCAAGATCATCATTTATATGGTTAAGGTGTTATCAATTAGTGTATAGATAGATACCATTAAAATTTGCCTCATTTTTTTTTATCATGTTGTCAAAGCTTTTAATTCTGTAGCATGCTCTATTTAATGCAGATTACTATTCTGTTTTCATATTTGAGTCGACAAGGTCAGTGCCAGCAACATACTGATTACAATTTTACACCTAATTTACATCATCAGTTGAGAAGGGAAACAGAAAATGTTGACATGATAGTCATAAAGGGATTATTTTTTATAGAGTAAAATGTCTGACAAGCAATATGAGGCCATCTATCTATTTGTTAAAGGCAATAGAATTTCTTTTTTCCCATCTTAGATGAAATTCAAGTCAATTCTTGAGCCAAGTAAACTGCAATTACTTTGTCTAGCTGATCCTCAACTACCTATCAACCACACGAATGCTTACAACACTAGTCTAAGTTTATACATTCTCGTCAGCTGAATGAAAGCAGGCCCATATTGCAGGCTAATCCAGGCCAATAGTACTTTTTGAAGCAATTTCAGATGAGTGTGCTTTGAGTATTTAAGTTATTTTTTAAATAGTGAATTAGATTTCTGTGGCTACTATAACAAATCACCAGACATTTGGCAGTTTAAAACAACAGAAACATCACAGTTCTGGAGCCCAGAAATCTGGAATCAGCATCACTGGGCAAAAATCCAGGTGTTGTCAAGGCCATGTTCTCACCAGAGGCGCTAGGGATAAATCCATTCCTTGCTCTTACAGCTTCTGGTGGCTGCTAGCATTGCTTCATTTGTGGCTATATCATTCCAGTCTTCAAGCTAGCATCTTCAAATATCTCTGTCATCTTTACATAGCCTTCTCCTCTGCTGTGTGTTCAAATCTCCCTCTGCCTATCTCTAATGAGGATAAATGTGATTGCATTTAGGACCCACCTGGGTAATCCAGGATAATCTCCCCATTTGAAGATCCTTAATTTAATCTCATCTACGAAGACTTTGCCATATAACATACCTAGGTTCCAGGGATTAGGACATCGTATATTTCTGGGCCATTTTTCAGCCTACCACAAATGATGATAAACAAAATTCTTAGAAATTTTGACTCTTAAGACTACTATTATGCTGTTGTTGTTAGGTGCTGTCCAGTCAATTTTCTACCCATAGCAATCCCATGTTACGGAGTAGAACTGCCCCAAAGGACTTTTAAGGAAACCCTGGTGGCGTAGTGGTTAAGAGCTATGGCTGCTGACCAAAAGAACGTCAGTTTGAATCCACCAGGCGCTCCTTGGAAACCCTATGGCGCAGTTCTACCCTGTCCTATAGGGTCGTTGTGAGTCGGAATCGACTTGATGGCATCAGGTAATCGTTATGGGAACAGATCGCCAGGTCTTTTCTCCTGTGGAGCCACTGGATGGGTTCGAATCACCAACCATTTGCTTTAGTTACTAAATTTTTATTTAAAAAAAAATATTTTGATGCTGTGTGTATTCACTAATTATGGTATGCTGATTCAAAGACCAATCTGAAATTTTGGATGTGAGTTATGGATTTTGAGATATATGATCTGGTAATACAAGCCACCAATAAGTCCAGTGACACTGTGGTGCCACTCATCTATGGTATGACGATACACCTATAAGAACTAAATACATAGTTTATTGTGAGCACCGTACCATTAGGTTACATGGGGAACCTCTGGTTTTCCAAATATGACACAGAAAAACCAAAGCAAACCTATCAGGGCTCCCTAACCATCACACAGGAAAGCCATAATTATGCTTGCAAAACTTACCTCACAGAAATAAAGGGAAAAAAGGCAAAAGTTTACAAAGCTAACACATCCAGAAAGCATCTCCTAATAGAATGCTCAACCTACACAATGAGGCTCCAACTCTGGTCTGCTGAGCTTCATGCATTTCAAAAGGGGCTCACCTTGATGCTAAATCCATTTGAACTGGAATAATGCCCTACCTGCATAAAATGTGGCTGGTATACAGTTATACCAATAGTAACAAAGGGGTTAACTTTATGACTCTGGTAAATATTGAAGAGTTTTAAAAATTTTTTTCCTTTATGCTAGCACTCAACATGATGTCAAGATATTTCTGCATGCTGAACATATTCACGTGTTAAGATATTTCAATTCCTGATTCCCAAAATATGGATTTGAAGAAACATCCCATCACATAGTTCTTTCCAATAAGCAATTGAGTTTCATGGACAGCTGGAACATTTCTAAATTTGTCCATCTGCAGAAAAGAAAACACTGTAGCTGTTAGATTTTAGAAATTGTATCAGATTTAGAGAAAATCTCTTAGAATTATCTAACTTCAAAAATGTTGAAAGTCAAGCAATGTTTTATCAAATACACATTGCATAAACAACTCTACTAGAGCAGAAAGTTAAATGATAAAGTATTTAGCAAAAAGGTATTTTTTTTTTTTTTTTTGTAAATACTATTGACTTTTCAAAGGAGGTAACTAGAAAGTTGGTGTAAAACTATGCTTCACTAGTCCATAAAATGTTTTACTCTAATATAAATGAAATAGCTAAATGTCTCTAATACACAAGTTTTAATTCACATACTTTGTGTTTTATTCTTGCAGGTAAAGAACAAATAATTGTACATGCACTGGAAGCAAAGTGAAGAGATAACATTTATACTTGTGCCATTTTGGCTCTTTGTTTTTTAATCTTTTGTGAGAGCTCAAGACTAGTGACTGCAATTTGGACCCGCTACTGGATTCCCACATGATTTCTGGCTTTAACAAACAGTACTTTGGTGGACGATTAAGCTAGCAGCAGTATTGTTTTTGCTACATAAAAGAGCTTTAATAACCTTGATTTAATGAGCTTTTTCTCGTCTTTTCCAGTCAATGCATGAAAGACAACAGCTGTGGACACTGTTTTACCGTACAGGACTCCCCGGTTAGACAGATAAGGCTCCAAACACAGTTACTTCTTGGTTGTCTTAGCACTGTTCTCGCCATCACTGAGTTCAGTGTCTATTTGTAAAGTGGAATTGTTATAATGCTTAAAAATGATGGTATATACAAGTGACTTAGTATGTACTGTCTCCAGCATATTACAGGCACCAATAAATGTTAGTGTCCTTCTTCTGTTTCTCTGATTAAGCTTTTTAACTAATTGTTTATGTGATTTTCAAAACCAGCTTCATCTCTGGTTCTGCCCAGGATTGTAGAGAGCTGGAAATATCATAGATAGCAACTGTTCAAAAAGAAACAAATCAGATAAGCTGCAAGTTTTCACAGCTTTTCTTAGACCCATCAAAGAGCTGAGCTAAACTGAAACCTGGAAGAGGCAGGTGCCAGCACTGAGACAGGGATGCGAGTATTTGCTCAATAGGAGAAAACACAGCTGGACATGGTTAAGAAGAATTTAGCTAGGCTCATTGAAGAATAGGTTGAGGCAGAGGGCAGGCTGTGGGGAAAATGTGAAGTCTCTCATGGCTACAGATACAGGAAGAAGAAGAATACCCTTTTGTAGTCATTTTATCCATGATCCCACCAGGCCCTCTCAAGGATGACTAGGGAGATTCCAGAAAATGTTACCAATTTAGTGAGGGCCTAGGGGAGGGGAATAGCAGCCACTGAGAAAGACACTCCCTCTCCCTTCTCACTTACCACCCTCTGGGAATAAAGTTCCAAATCTGCTGGGTAAAGGGCAACAAAAGACGGTGTCCTCAGGGCGGCTGGGATGTGGAAACAAACACACAGGTAAAAACCAAAAACGCTCTTCCCTGGGGGATGGGCAGAAAACCTGCCAGCCCGAAACAGAGCAGGAAAAGGTTTGCAACACTTTTGAAGGACATACTCCCAAGAACCAGGACACACTGCCTGCTTAAAACTGAAACATAACCAGAAAATCAGAGAATGCCCCTCTCCACCACCCATCACCAGGCAAACAAGCTTCAAATAAAAGTACCAATGAAATACTGCTGGGATAGGTACAAGAAAAGACTCTGAGACACAGCAAAGGAAAGCCCTAATGCCAAAGGTAGAACAGACATGGAGAGAAACCCTCTGGCAAATGAAGTGCCACCCTAAACAGAGTTATTGCTAGATGAATCTGAAGTCTGTGATACAATGTGGATAAGAATAACAACAACAAACCTCAAAGTCAGTCCAACTCCTGATTAGAATAGTAAAACCCATGACACTGAAAGCATAGTAGAAGGTGTGTCTACTTCCAAGCATGAAACTATCCACCTTAGTTTCTATTGTCTTAAATAAAAATGTCCAATTTTCAGCCAAAAAATAACAAAGCATATAAAAAAGGAAAGAAAAATGAAGACACTCCCAAGAGACAAGTCAATCAATAGAATCATATTCAAATATGACACAGATGTTAGACTATCTGATAGAGGTTGTAAAATAAGGGTAATATGTTAAAAACTAGTGGAAAAGATGAACAACATGCAGGAACAGATGTGTAACTTCAGAAGAAAGGTGAAAAGTATAAGAATTAAATGAAAATTCTAGGAATAAAAATACAATGAATACCTTCAGTGGGCTCTACAAGAAGTAACAATATGTTTATTTATTGAACATGTAAATGTAAAATGTACAAGAATTGTCAAAGATAGGGAGGAGGAAATGGAAATATACTATCATAAGATCTTTGCACTACAGGTGGAGAGGTATAATGTTATATGAAGATAAACTCTGTTTAATTAAAATGTATATGGTAAATGCTAATTTTTAACATTGGTATAAATAAGAAATATATATTGCAGATACTATAGAATCATGATAGGGAAAATAGAAATAAGGAGAAAAAGAAACAAGATAGAGATAAAACAAATAGAAAACATCTAGCAACATAGTAGGTTGTAATGCAAATATTTCAATAATTACATTCAATGTGAATGATCTAAAGAGAAAAATTAAAGACAGAGACTGTCAGAATGAATAAGTAAAGAAAGACAAACTATATTCTGTCTACAGGGAACCCAATTTAATTATAAAGGCATTGATGGGTTAAAAGCAAAAGGATGGAAAAAGATAAATCATGCAAACACTAAGCAAAAGAAAGTTAGAGTAGCTGTGTTAATATCAGACAAAACAGACTTCAGAACAAGGAATGTTATATCAGAGGATCCTCTCAATTCTTAATTCCTGAAAGGAAAAAAAAAAAAAAACCAACCTAAACAGGCATATCAATAGTACATCAAAATCTAAGAATCTATAACTGATAAAACTTAAAGGAGAAATGGAAATTCACAATTATAGTTGGAGTCTTCAACATTGCTCTTCTAAGAAAGGTTACATATTATATGATTCATTTATGTGATATTCTGGATAAAGCAAAACTATTTGGATAAAAAACCAAACAGTGGTTGCTAGGGATAAGAATGTGGGGAAAGTTTTGACTGTAGTAGGTAGGATAAGAAAATTCGGGGGTTGATAAAACTTGTGTCATGGCTGCATTGGTAGATACATGATTCAATATGTTTTTCAAAATTAATAGAACTCTACACTAAATTAGTGAATTTCACCGTACATAAATAAAAAAAATACATAAACAGGATGTGGGGAGAACCAAAATGGAATTACAACAAATTGGAACAAATGAATCTAACTGTATTACAAATGACTAAGTGAACCACACTGAAGATGGTGGGGAATAAGACAACTAATTTAAATTACTTTGTAAATAATATTTTAACTCTATACTGTAAGAGTAAATGCAAAAGAACTGTAATTTTGTTTTTCACAGGGTTAGCAATTCTGAAACTAGTTTATGTGTATAGTAGAATTTTAAACAAAAGTAAATATATTATAGATAATAAGAGCTAAATTTCTCATTGTTAGAGAAATAAGGTACAAATAAGGAAAGAGGGAAGGCTAAAATTCGCCCAATTGTGCCTGGAAGGAGAAGTAATGAATATCTGTTCATATTTCTAATAACTAATAACTGTTAAGAGTTGGATTTAAGATACAACTACCCATAAATCATCAAAACCTTTTTATAATTTTGAGACAATATTTTAGCTACCAAAAGTAATAGCATTTTAAGACTTAGCTGATTTATGAATGGAAAGCTTTATTCCCTTTAGTGATTTCTTTCTTTTTATAAACATAATGAACAAATGGCAATTTGATTGTTCCAACTACGTGTTGGACAGAAACAGAGAGCCAAAGACAAAAGAAGTCCCACGTTACACCCCAAATAGATTATCTACATAGATAGTTGTTGTAAGACGCTATCAAGTCAATTTTTCAACTCATAGCAACCCAATGTAATAGAGCAGAACTGCCCCCATAAGGGTTTTCTAGGCTGTGATCATTAGGGGAGAAGATCACCAGGTCTTTTCTCCTGTGGAGGCACAGAGTGGGTTTGAACCACCAACCTTTTGGTCAGCAAGCAAGCACTTAACCTTTGCACCACCAGGGCTAGCAATCCTACAGGACAGAGTAGAATTTCCCCATAGAGTTCTTACATAGATAGAACAGATCTTTTCTAGAGTGATATTTTAAGATTATTAGTTTGGTTGGATTTTGTAAGATATATCTGAAGCTCTTTCTTTAATCAAACATCTTAATGTATTCTTATATAAGAACATGCTTGTCTTAGTTATCTAGTGCTGCTATAACAGAAATACCACAAGCGAATGACTTTAATAAACAAGTTTATTCTCTCACAGTTTAAGAAGCTATAAGTCCAAATTCAGGGAGCCAGCTCTAGGGGAAGGCGCTCTTTCTCTGATGGTTCTGGGGAAGATCCTTGTCATCAATCTTCCCCAGTCTAGGAGCTTTCAGCACAGAGACCCCGGGGGCCCAAAGGACACACTCTGCTCCTGGCTCTTTCTTGATGGTATGAGATCCCTCTCTCTCTGCTTGCCTCTTTCTCCTTCTATCTCTTATGAGATAAAAGGTGATGCAGGCCACATCCCAGGGAAACTCCCCTTACACTGGATCAGGGTTGTGACCTGAGTAGGGTATTGCATCTCACCCTAATCCTCTTTAACATAAACTAATCTTTCTTCATTAACCCCAGGCAGAGATTAGGATTTACAATACATAGGAAAACCACATCAGATCACAAAATGGTGGACAAATGCACAATACTGGGAATCATGGCCTAGCCAAGGTGATACACATTTTTGAGGGGACACAGTTTAATCTATACCAATGCCTTTTGCAACATTTCATAATTTTTACTCTTTCTCTTCTTGTTGCCTAAAAAACAAAAGGGGTATAAATGTTTTGGATATTGGATTGTTGGTTCATAATTCTGTGGTGTGCCCATTTCCAATCAAGACTCAGATTTTTTTTTAATTTAACTTACTAACTTTATGTTAGATTTAATGATTTGTGTTAGAGTAGCAAACATGAAGAATTTACATTACAAATGTGTTATTTAATTTTTCATGTTGGAAACTCTTAAGAAAATAAACATATTCACTTATATAGAAAGTCATAAATTCGTAACAGAAAAAAGACTTTGGATCAATTACCCTTGTTCATTAGTAATTACTTTACTTGATAATTTAACATTAATCAACAGTTGTAGCATTTACATTTTAATATAATCCTTGAAGCGATAAATATATCCTTAATCAGGGTAAATGTAATACAATTACAGAATAAACATTTAATTAGTACCTTTAAATTTCAATGTAATAAGTAACTACCAAGTTAATTAGTAAGGAAAGTGCATTTGATACAGGTCTTTAGCTGAGGCAAGTTAATATTCCATAAAAGAACAAAACTCATGCTGGGGAATGCTTTTGGTTGTTGTTTTTAATTTGGCTCTTTGAAAAACTCTATAAATGGGATTAATAATTGAAAACACATTATATAACCAAGTTATCTTAGGGTAATATGTATATCTTTTCTCTTTCCAGATGTGGTGTGCTGTAATATAGATGGAATAAAACCTCTGATGATGATTTTTCAGGAAGGGTGTATATGTAAATTAGAAGAGACAGTTTTTATATTTATATAACATGTATATTTATATAATTTATATAACAAAAAAATCTAGTGTAACAAGTAGGTTCCTACAAAAATGATGTT